ATGCTCCTTGTGACCATCGTTTGGAATTGCCACATCCACCACTTTCCTTTGCCCTTTGCACCCACCATGATTTACCGACCCAAACTGGAAGTCCCACAAGATCTTCATGCGCTCATTCTCCATCACCTTTGAAGGAGTTTCCCACTGTGACCTTAGGGTTTCCAGCCCATATTCTGCACAGATGTTCCTATATACTATGTCAGCAACTTGGTCATGGTGTTCCATGTAGGCCTTCCCTGCCAGCATCTTGTACCCTGTGGTTACGTGATGGATCAATCAGACCACAGATGTTTAAACGTGAAAAGCTCCTCACCATGCATGGCATATTCCATCCCAAATACATCATCTCAAAACTGTATGCAAGCTGAAACGGTAAAGAAGGAGGCTGAGTGCATGTGAGAGCCACTGTCCAGGACAAAACACCCAAACTCCATTACTTCATCAAGGTGAAGGCCCAAACGGATGATGTACTCGGTGAATGTCTCAGACAGTGATGGGAGGACAAGCTCCTACACGGCATGTACAACCAGAACATACTGTAAGTCGCGTTTCCACCGTATCAGTTCCTGGTAAAATGAGGGGGGTGGAACTTCTACAGGAACTGTCCTCTCATGTGGCCCTAAGTGGCCGTGTCTCCACTGCAGAGTTGGACCCCTCGGCGACAACATGTGGATCTGTGGATCTGACGGATCATACAGTGCCTTGCGAAAGTATTCGGTCCCCTTGAACCTTTCAACATTTCGCCACATTTCAGGCTTCAAACATAAAGATATAACACTTTAATTTTTTGTCATGAATCAACAACAAGTGGGACACAATCGTGAAGTGGAACAAAATGTATTGGATAATTTAAACTTTTTTACCAAATAAAAAACTGAAAAGTGGGGCGTGCAATATTATTCGGCCCCTTTACTTTCAGTGCAGCAAACTCACTCCAGAAGTTCAGTGAGGATCTTTGAATGATCCAATGTTGTCCTAAACAGTGATGGGAATAACGGCGTTACTAGTAACGGCGTTACTAACGCCGTTACTTTTTTCAGTAACGAGTAATCTAACTAATTACTTTGACAGTAACTATAACGCCGTTATCATTTCCGACATCCCGTTACTGCGCGTTACTCAAGACGCACAATGAACGTGTTGATATGAGAGAAGGGAGGATGAGAAAACCTCTCAGCAATTATTGGCTGATGTAAAACATATTTCCTTTACAATCCACATGTCTACAGTTGAGAGGATGGCTCATAAATTGTGTTTTTGAAACAAATATGGGTCTTAATCGCGCTCAACCACGGCTTGTATCACCGTGAGGTCAGCCACAGAGTAGCGCATGTGAGCGCAGAAGTCGGCTGCATACAATTCCATCGATAAGCTCCTTGCTCTTCCTGGTTTATCTGCTAAGGACAGCAACAGGTATGGCTAACATACATATAACACATTTTTACATAATCTAAAATGTACATAGGGTAATTTTTCAATTACTATAGGAATGATAAGAAAGAGAGGTGAAGTGTAAGACGGTTGATTTTAGAAATTGGATGCACTCGGCTGCCGCTAGCAAAACACAGGAGTTTATGGAGGACACACGCGTTTTGTTTTACTTTTTAAAACTCATTGGACTCATTTCCAAATGGAGGATTACATATCTACGCTCAAACCATTAACTGAATTTAAGCAAGGAACTGGTCTGAACCGAAGTGGACTGTGCAGGTCATTTATAAGGTATAGCTATAAGGTAAGACCCATAACTCATAGTTTTGCGTTTTGTATGAACAAACAATGCGGGCATAAAACATATTTTGCTGTAGCCAAACAAATTGTCCACTTGATTTATATGATGTATATGTTCATCTGATTGGACTGAAGTCAGTGCTTCACCAGCCTCACCGCTCGTCGCCGGTGTTTCCACATTCACAGTGGCGGGCTTTACAGCACAGTGAGAGATGAAGAGTGAACAGGACTTCAGCAGCAAAACAGCCTTTTCTAGATGGAAATATTGGCACTGTTAAAGGTAAAAATGCGCACGTCGGGTGCACATTATGTTCCAGAACAAAACGAAAAAGTAACGCAATAGTTACTTTTACTGGTAACTAGTTACTTTTATAGTGGAGTAACTCCGTTAGTAACTCAGTTACTTTTTGGGGGAAGTAACTAGTAACTATAACTAATTACTTTTTCAAAGTAACGTGCCCAACACTGGTCCTAAATGACTGATGATGATAAATAGAATGCACCTGTGTGTAATCAAGTCTCCGTATAAACGCACCTGCTCTTTGATAGTCTCAGGGTTCTGTTTAAAGCGCAGAGAGAACCATGAAGACAAAGGAACACACCAGGCAGGTCCGAGATACTGTTGTGGAGAAGTTTAAAGCCGGATTTGGATACAAAAAGATTTCCCAAGCTTTAAACATCTCAAGGAGCACTGTGCAAGCAATTATATTGAAATGGAAGGAGTATCAGACCACTGCAAATCTACCAAGACCCGGCCGTCCCTCCAAACTTTCATCTCAAACAAGGTGAAGACTGATCAGAGATGCAGCCAAGAGGCCCATGATCACTCTGGATGAACTGCAGATAACTACAGCTGAGGTGGGAGAGTCTGTCCAAAGGACAACAATCAGTCGTGCACTGCACAAATCTGGCCTTTATGGAAGAGTGGCAAGAAGAAAGCCATTTCTCAAAGATATCCATAAAAAGTCTCGTTTAAAGTTTGCCACAAGCCACCTGGGAGACACACCAAACATGTGGAAGAAGGTGCTCTGGTCAGATGAAACCAAAATTGAACTTTTTGGTCACAATGCAAAACGATATGTTTGGAGTAAAAGCAACACAGCTCATCACCCTGAACACACCATCCCCACTGTCAAACATGGTGGTGGCAGCATCATGGTTTGGGCCTGCTTTTCTTCAGCAGGGAGAGGGAAGATGGCTAAAATTGATGGGAAGATGGATGGAGCCAAATACAGGACCATTCTGGAAGAAAACCTGTTGGAGTCTGCAAAAGACCTGAGACCGGGACGAAGATTTATCTTCCACCAGGACAATGATCTAAAACATAAAGCCAAATCTACAATGGAATGGTTCACAAATAGACGTATCCAGGTGTTAGAATGGCCAAGTCAAAGTCCAGACCTGAATCCAATCGAGAATCTGTGGAAAGAGCTGAGAGACAGAATGTGAAAAAAATCCAGGAATTCACATTGTAGGATTTTTAAAGAATTTATTTGTAAATTATGGTGGAAAATAAGTATTTGGTCAAGAACAGAAATTCAACTCAATAGAAGGAGGTTTTGGCTCAAAATCTCACGATACATGGCCCCATTCATTCTTTCCTTAACACGGATCAGTCGTCCTGTCCCCTTAGCAGAAAAACAGCCCCAAAGCATGATGTTTCCACCCCCGTGCTTCACAGTAGGTATGGTGTTCTTGGGATGCAACTCAGTATTCTTCTTCCTCCAAACACGACGAGTTGAGTTTATACCAAACAGTTCTACTTTGGTTTCATCTGACCACATGACATTCTCCCAATCCTCTGCTGTATCATCCATGTGCTCTCTGGCAAACTTCAGACGGGCCTGGACATGCACTGGCTTCAGCAGGGGGACACGTCTGGCACTGCAGGATTTGATTCCCTGTCGTCGTAGTGTGTTACTGATGGTGACCTTTGTTACTTTGGTCCCAGCTCTCTGCAGGTCATTCACCAGGTCCCCCCGTGTGGTTCTGCGATTTTTGATCACCGTTCTCATGATCATTTTGACCCCACGGGATGAGATCTTGCGTGGAGCCCCAGATCGAGGGAGATTATCAGTGGTTGAAATATCGTTTTGGGCTACATTTGGGCTATTTTTTTATACAGATGACGAGTTCAAACAGGTGCCATTAATACAGGTAACAAGTGGAGGACAGAAGAGCGTCTTAAAGAAGAAGTTACAGGTCTGTGAGAGCCAGAGATCTTCCTTGTTTGAAGTGACCAAATACTTATTTTCCACCATAATTTACAAATAAAGTCTTTAAAAATCCTACAATGTGAATTCCTGGATTTTTTTTTCACATTCTGTCTCTCACAGTTGAAGTGTACCTATGATGAAAATTACAGACCTCTGTCATTATTTTCAGTGGGAGAACTTGCACAATCGGTGGCTAACTAAATACTTTTTTGCCCCACTGTATATATTAGGGCTGTCACACGATTAACATTTTTGTGTTTATTAATCATATAGTAATGGTGAGTTAACTCACGATAATCACATTTTTAACTTTCTATTTCAAATCCACTCCGTGTCTGCTGCATTCTGAGTTTTATTATTGATAAATGGGCGGGTCATACGGACATGCGTTAATGCGTTAATAATTTTTTTTTTTTGACAGACCTAATATATATATATATGTATATATAATATTATATTATTTATATATATATATTTGTGTGTGCATGTGTATACACACACCCCCACACACACACACACACAAAAGTGAGAAATCCCTGAGATTTCTCACTTTTCTCCCACTTCGTTTTAGAGTTTTTCCTGGCCGATGCAGGAGGTTAGTGGTTCTAACAAAAAAAGACTGTTGTGATGATCCAGGACACTTCAACATCCTACAAAATGTATGGATGGACATTTATCAACACTCATGGACATTGGTCAACTCCCCCTATAGACCAATACATATGTGTTCTCTGTTTTCTGTGTTTGATTCGTTGATCGGTGTTGGTGATTTCAACGGTTGTATAAAGTCCTCTCAGAGAACCACTGTTGTGATTTAGGGCTATACAAGAATACATTGAATTGAATAAAGAATGTCCCGGGTAGTGTCTGGGGGCGCGGGCCTGTGGGTGCAGCTCCAGTTCTGTAGCATTAGCCTGCTCTCAGACAGGGAGGGAGCGAGAGGCGTCCTGGACCTAAACGCACTTCCTTCCAAAACATTTCCTCAAGAAAAAACTCCCGGACTTTGGTGATTTTTTCTACGGGCGTCGCTGCTCCTCTCAAGGCTGCGTGGACATGGACTGGGGCACGGACCTTTGGGTGAGTACGTCCCAGCTGACACGCACCCAAACGCGAAACTTTTGATGTTGTGGCGAATCCGCGCGTCTCCGGGGGACTGTTGAATTGTACAAAGCGTTTTGAAGCGCTGCTTTTGGAAGGAGGTGAGTGCAAAAGTATGTAGGATACGCGCTGGACGGGAGTGAGGCGTAAAAGTACTTCAGGGAACAGAACAAGGTAAAGACTATTTCGTAACACTGTCTCGCATACCGCCAGTAAAGGGAAGGAAAATACCTGTGTTCTGAAGAAAGGCCTGGTCCTGGTTTAGACCTGCTCTACTCCTGGTTTAGACCTACTTTAGTCCTACTCTAGTCCTGCTTTAGATCTCCTTTAGACCTGCTTAAGTCCTGTTTAGAATTGCTTTTGTCCTGCTTTGGACCTGCTTTAGTCCTGCTTTGGACGTGCTTTAGACCTGCTTTGGTCCTGGTTTAGACCTGCTTTAGACCTGTTTTAGTCCTGCTTTAGTCCTGCTTTAATCCTGTTTTAGTCCTGCTTTAGACCCACTTTAGGCCTACTTTATTCCTGCTTTAGAGTTTATACCTGCTTTAGACCTGCTTTATACCTCCTTCAGTCTTGCTTTAAGATAAGATAAGAGAACCTTTAATCGTCCCACAGCCACAGTAGGGAAAATGTTGTACCTGTTAGTCTTGCTTTAGAGCTTCATTAGACCTGCTTGAGACCTACTTTAATTTTTAGTCTTGCTTTAGACCTGCTTTAGTCCTGGTTCAGTAACGCTGCATGGTTTGGAACACTCTCACGAGGAAGTGTTAGACTCCTTTTTAGAATAATACTACTACTAATACTACTACTATTACTACTAATACTACTAATAATAACTAGTTATCAACAGAACCTTGAGGAATGCTCCACAAGAACACATTTTTTGACGGGACTCTACTTATGCAGTGCCTGAATGTGTCCTTTGGCAAGGCACTTCATACACATTGTCTAGAATGTGTCTGGTGTGTGAAGGATTGCTGATGGTCGGAGGGGCCGATTACACATACGGTTTGCTTCACTCTTGCCCTAGGGCCCTAGGGCAGCTGTGGCTACAGTAGAATTTTTTCTAAAATGGCATTAACATGAACTGGTACTGGAAGGGAAAATGTAGGTACCCCAGCTTTAATTTAGCGAGTGCGCTTCGGGAGAAGACACGGAGGAGACACGGAGGAGACACGGAGGAGACTGAGGCTCCGTAGTCCAGCTTCAGAGGTGTATTTATTGCATGCACAGGTTACGCAAAGACACGCATGCAACAACCAGAGAATAGTCCTGTGCGTGTGACGTTACGGCGGCGCCATTTGCCGTGTTGTTGTCAAATCGACAGCCGCTGGAGGTGGGAACCTCTGTCCAGAGCGACCGCAGCTGCCCCGGGTCAGAACGTTGCGGTCACGGAGGATGCAGAATCCCGTTTGAGTTCATAGCATACAACAGCAAGTGCCCCGCAGCCGCGCGGATTTTCTTTTTAAACTTGAATTCCCAGAGAACTGCTCTGTCGCCATCTCACACACGCACGTGTCTGTGGCATTCTGAGTGTTATTATGGGATGCATGGGTGGGTCATTCCTTACATGCGTCAATGCGTTATTTTTTTTTAACACGATTAATGAAAACAATTAATTAATGTGTGTTAACGCAATAATTTTGACAGTCCTACAATATTTGTGACACATGACTCCTATCTAACCTAAATCCAGCACGCATGCACACACGCAGACACAGAGACACAAGCACACATAGGCACGCACGCAAGCTCACACACTCACATACACAGACACACATGCACACATCCATAGACGCACACAGACACGCATATACAAGCATACAGATACATACAGACACAGGCACAGGGACACAAACACGCACACAGAACAGGTGGAGCCGGTTTCTTCAGCTATTCTCCTACCTCCACCAAGACATCCATCTCTGAAGGGAGGGGCCAGCTGCTGCATATCACTGCACAAGTCCTCCACCTCCTGCATTAAGCCTGAGTTGTGCCCCCTGAGCTGAGTGTTTGAGTTCCTGGGCTGTGACGCACATTTAACCCTGGGAGAGTGTGGAGAAGGAGGCCTGGGCAATGAGATAATGTGGACCTCCACCCAGTGACGGACAGTCCCAAGGGCCAGTCTGAAGCCAGGGCCGGTCTGACTGGTCCCGCCTCGAAACGAAAAGACGAGACGAAAAGACTAAAGAATAAATGACTGAACAAATTGAGCAGGAGAAAGGACGGAGAAACGTGTGTGTGTGTGTGTGTGTGTGTGTGTGTGTGTGTGTGTGTGTGTGTGTGTGTGTGTGTGTGTGTGTGTGTGTGTGTGTGTGTGTGTGTGTGTGTGTGTGTGTGTGTGTGTGTGTGTGTGTGTGTGTGTGTGTGTGTGTGTGTGTGTGTGTGTGTGTGTGTGTGTGTGTGTGTGTGTGTGTGTGTGTGTGTGTGTGTGTGTGTGTGTGTGTGTGTGTGTGTGTGTGTGTGTGTGTGTGTGTGTGTGTGTGTGTGTGTGTGTGTGCCAGAGCCTGTCACAGGGTTTCATTGTTAGAATATTTTATAACTTTATGTATTTGAGATTAGTGAGATTATTGGTCCAATCATAGGCAATGCTTTGCGCACCTGCAGTAGTCTAGTTCAGTATTTTTCAACCTTTTTTGAGCCAAGGTGTGTGTGTTATTTTTGATTTGTTCACAACATTTTACTTTTGGCACAAATAACATGCATTGTTTATGCATGTGGAAAATTTAGGTATCAGAGCTTTAATTTTGGGAGTTTTGACAAGGGAGAGACACAGTGGAGACATGGGAGAGACATGGAAGATGGTCCTGAGTCCATGGTTCTGTCTGCGCGTCTATGGTTTGTGACTGTGGTGACTGTCCATGCGACTATGGTCCGTGCTCGGTACCACGTTTCGGATATGCGTTTGCTGTGCTGTTGTCAAAGAGGATGTATATCCTGTTCAGAAATGGCATAATTCCTTTTCAAAAACGTCTCCCTCACTTTCACTTCTCACGAGCGACAATGCTCCTTGCTGCCTGTTACATTCGGTGATTACGTCCAACTCTTAAGTTTCAAAGTACTTTAACTATCTGCTGCCACCTACTGATATGAAAAAGTCGGCACTCACCAACGGTGGATGCATTTATTTTTACACAAAGTAGGCAAATTTCTCACGGCACACCAGACAATATCATACACACACAGTGGTTGAAAAACACTGATCTAGTTATGTATTCATATATTATAAAAGGATGTTTTCACTGATTCTATTAATTTTTTTCCCCTGATGTTTTACCCATTGTTTTCACCATAAGTTATCATGTTTGTCACGTTATGACAATGAAAAGAGATTTTATATTCAACTAAAAAACAACAAAAAGTCAATAACTAATGTTTTAAATGCACTATAGGTGTTCAGAGCTTTAACATGAACTAGAACATAGTTTAGGTTTAGTTTATTTCTTTTTTGGTGTCTTACACCTAAAAATGCCCCTTTATAAGACACAAAGATGTAGGCAGACATCAGAAAAACATCAAACAAAGAGTGTCCTCTTCCGTTGGAGCCATGCACTTAACAAAAACTTAGACAAATCAAATGGCTTATACTTGAACAGAAACTTAAGCCTTTCCTCGTCGGACAGTTCAAACAAAAGTTCAGCAACATCAGACAGTTTACAAAATAATTGCCTTCTCAGATCATGATACAAAGGACAATAAAACACAAAATGAAATTCATTTTCAATATCATTTAAGTTACACAAACGACATGTCCTCTGGGACCGAGTGAAATCATCCTGTCTCCAGAGCCATGGGCAGAGTTCCAGACCTCAGTTGAGCACAGACTGACCTCTGACCTCTGGTCAGGGTTCAGGGTCACATAGGGTCAGGACCAAAATGATCTTTTATCAAAACATAAGTTCTCAGCGTTGGGTTACACAAGACCTTGTTTAACCATTTATGTTCATACTTTTCAAAATACACTTTTTTAATTTCTCCAACATTACATCTCAACTTGTTTCTGAAAATAAACTGAAGATCAGCATCAACAAAAATGTTCTCCATCTGCACACTCCAAACATATCTATTAGACAGGTCCCATTTAAAAATGTGTTTAGACAGTCTTGTGTCAGACATATTGATAAACCTGTTCCATAACCGTACCATGTCACAAACATGCCTTACTTCACATGGTTCCCAACCCAGGTCCCCGTACAGAGCTAGTTTAGGGGTGTTTTTATGAACACCTAGAAAGTACCTCAGAGCTCTGCATTGAACCTTTTCACTGTGCGTTTATTTATAGTAACCCCGGACCCCAGCAGCACCATGGTCCAACACCGGACAGACACAAGCTCTGTACAGCTCAGTGTAGGTCTTATAACCGAGATGACGACACGCCTTAACTTTATTTATAACCACACCAAGAGCTCGACCTGCAGATTCAGACCATGATTTAATCCCTTCATCAAATATTTTTACTTTTTAGTAAAAGAAAGAACTAGAGTGCAAAAACAGATTTGCCTGGGTACTTCTTCTGAAATGCATAACTTGAGTTTTATCAGAATTTATCATCAGTCTCATTTTGTTGCACCAAGCATGAACAATGTTCAACATTTTCTGAAGGTCTGATTCCTTTTCGGCTAATAGCACAATGTCGTCCGCATACAACAGAATACAAAGTTTCAAGTACATATATGATTTACTAGATGGCTGAACAATAATTTTCTCCCCAGTAATATATTAGGTGGATTTTGACCTTTAAAACATGTATAACATTAATTTTGAAAAATAGAATTGCTGCTGTTTTGCCCAATCCTACCATGTGCTTATTATATCTATTATTATATCTGAACTTTTTCAAAATTTCCCCTATAAATTTTTTTAGCTGCACATTTAACTTGTGTGACTTTTTAACCAAAACTTCGAATACAGTGTTTTAAATCCTTTTGTCATTTGTGTGTTTTTACTCTACTTGCCTCTCCGCAAGCCTGACTCCTACTTGTTGTGATGGAAATGTATTCTGCATATTCTACAATGTGAATGAGATGACATTATTAGTATCTCCATGCAGAATGTGCTATAGTAAAGTTCTCACTTTGAGAACGTTGCACATGTCGCATGGTGTTTAGCACTTGTGCTTCAATTCCACCTCCAGAACGGGCATTTGAGGATGTTTCCTCTGGGTGCCCCAGTCCCCTTCCACAAAATAAAAAACATGTACAATATGTCTGGCATGCGCCTTCTGTAGGCAACCCAGCTTCCATTGCTGTGGAGTGAAAAAAAGCTCACAACAATTGTCAGAATCAGAATCATTTTTATTGCCACGTAAATAAAAGGAAGTCACAGACTTGGAAATTGCTTTGGCTCAGTGCAACAGTCAAAGAAGAGAAGTAAAGAATAGAGAATAGAGTAAGGCATAATAAGAATAATTAAAATTAGCATACACTTCTACGGTATAAAATTTACAATAGAATTATTACAATTATAATTACAGTCACTATGTACATTACAATATACAAGTGCACATGGTGCACACAATATGCAATAGGCAGTTCAATAGGGTGACAAGCAGTAAAGTGACATTATGATGGCATTAAAGTGACTTAATAAGGGACAGTAAAGTGACATTATAGGGGTCCGTAAGATGACTACTAGAGGGCGGGGGGACAGGTTATGAAGTGTTCAAGAGTCCAACAGCAGAGGGGAAGAAACTGTTCTTGTGGCGGGAAGTTCTAGTCCTGATGGACCGCAGTCTCCTGCCTGAAGGCAGTGGTTGGATTAGTCCATGTGCAGGGTGAGAGGGGTCGGCTGTGATATGACCAGCCCGGCCTCGAGCTCGGGCGACGTACAGGTCCTGCAGCGATGGGAGGCTGCGGCCAATCACTTCCTCTGCAGAGCGCACAATGCGCTGTAGTCTCTGTTTGTCCCTGACTGTGGCTCCAGCGAACAACACAGTGAGGATGGACTCGATGATGGCCGTGTAGAACTGCAGCCACATCTGTGCAGGCAGCTTGGCTTTCCTGAGCTGCCGCAGGAAGTACATCCTCTGCTGGGCCTTGTTGATGAGGGAGCTGATGGTCGGCTCCCACTTGAGGTCCTGGGTGATGGTGGTGCCCAGAAAACCGAGGTGATGGGGGAGTCCATCACGGAGGGTGGGAGCGGGGGGACTGCACTTTCTGAAGTCCACAATCATTTCCACTGTCTTCAGAGCATTCAGCTCCAGGTTGTTACCACTGCACCAGGACACCAGCCGGTCCACCTCCCTCCTGTAGGCGGACTCATCGTTGTTGGAGATGAGTCCAATGAGGGTGGTGTCGTCCGCAAACTTGATCAGCTTCACGGAGTGGTGGCTGGAGGTGTAGTGGTTGGTGTACAGGGAGAAGAGTAGGGAAGAAAGAACACAGCCCTGTGGGGATCCTGTATTTATAATCCGAGAGTCTGAGAGACATGACTCAGTTTGTGAAAGGTGCTTTTTGATACTTAAAATACCAATAGGTCAAACACATCACCTCCTTGTGCCCCATTTTAGCTGATCTAGCATCTATTTAATAGTTTAGTAGTATCAATTATTGTCATGTTTGCAATGGTTTTTGCAAATGTTTTGCAGCATACTGTTCTTCCTGAGGAGGCTGAAGTCTTTTTTGTGAGGAGTCAGATGTAGCAGTCTATAGTAGCTTGTGCTGTGTTCTTTGGGGTTGTCTGTTGGGGCGGCAGTCTGACCTTGAGAGAAAGTAACCGACTCGACAGGCTGATTAGGAAATGTTTCTTTGATGGAGAGAAGTGTGGACTGTGGGAGTTGTGCTAGACATAAGGATGAGGGCTGTCCTGCAGGGCATCCTGTGTATTCCCAAACACCCTCTGCATAACCCTATGGCTGCTCACTGGAGTAACTGTAGCAACAGGCTCCTATTGCTACGCTGCAGACCAAAACGTTTTAAGAGATCCTTTGTTCCTCCAGTTGTAAGACTGTTAGTAACTTTAAGAATTATGGTGTTTCTGCCACTGAATTTCTCATATTATGTCTGTATTTGTCTGTGCACACTGGAGACTTTTTGCTAATGTATTCCAATGTGGTGTTTTTACTGCAAATGGCAAATAAACTGAATCTGAATCTGATATGGGGGCCAATAAAGTTTCAATCTAATTATTTTGATATTGGATGTTGTTTAGATCCTGTCCCGGTGGGGTGGGGTGGGGTGGGGTGGGGATGGGTGGGGTGGGGATGGGTGGGGTGGGGATGGGTGGGGTGGGGTGGGGTGGGATGGGTGGGGTGTTTGTAAGTGGGTTTTGGGATTGTGTAGTAGTATGGAATGTTACACTTGTTTCTGCTGTGTTGTTTTATGTGTTATTGTTGTCATGTGTTGTTTTTGGGGCCCGTCTATAAGCTAATGCAGCTTCCTGGGAGTTCCCTTTTTACAAAACACCAACCAACACTACATTGTAAAAGTGTATAACCAATATGGCAACGAATTTTGTAAATAAAATAATTGAATTGAATTGAATTGTTTGCACTTGTACTGATAAAGGGGCCGCTTTGATGCTTTGCAGGACCAGAATGACCACATCGATAAGCACACGCAGGCCGGCCTGGACCTGGTGGAACGATACATCAAGTTTGTGAAGGAGCGCAGCGAGATCGAGCAGAGCTACGCCAAACAGCTCAGGTAAAAATGATTGTAACCATGAGTACAGAGTACAGACTTCAGAGTTACAAATGCCATGTAAATTATCCAGGCCGCAGCAGAAAAGCTGCTTTGCATAAATTCCACACAAAGGCACGCTGAAGGGACTGAGATTTCACAGCTCCAGAGTGTTCTCATACAATAGGGCTGTAAGACAAGCTTGAATCTCATCAAAATAACAATTGAAGTGGTCGTAATTTGCAAATTTCAATCAATCCGATGACAGGAAATAGTTTACAAACATCCAAACATTTCCAGTGTAACGTCGGTTTGGATTTTAAGGATTTTTAAAAGTTATGTGTAAAGTTTGGTATAAGTAGTCAACTGCTCCTGTGTGATAGCAGTCCCTTTCTATCGTTATATTTTCAAGAGTTTTAACACATCTTTTCTTAAAGTGATAGTCTGTAACTCTAAATGAATTACAAATTTTAGGAAATGTGTTAAATTGACCTCCTGGCCTTAAATGTTGATATAAAATAAGTCATTTTATTAATTCTAATATTACGGGCAAGTCCCGCCTTCCCTGCTCTTAGCTATAGTTCAGAATCCACGGTGCCGTCGAGGTTAACCAATCGAGTCATGCCAAGGGCTGTCAATCATCGGCGCTGATGCTCGCAGCTGCACGCATGCGCAGTTGTTTGTTTTCGCGGAGCCTCTATTAGGCTCTGGAACTACATGAAAACTGAACAAAGAATTCTGAACATCCGCGCTGAGGTACTGTATTCTGATACATAATCAGATCCTCTGCTGATGTGTCCTATAATGTACAATTCATGATAATAGCACTTCCTGGTTTGCTGCGATCGCTTTTTTGTGTGCATAAAAACATATTTTTTTTCATTAAAACGTTCACAAATAATTCTGAAAACCTCCGTGCATGTGTATTAATAATGTATATGTATAATATGTTCTCTGATTAACATTTCAAAGTGTTGCGGAAACGTAGGTGTAGACCAATCAGAAAGGAAGGGGGAGGGAGCTTGCGTCGTTTTTTTCAAATCAAGTACCTCTCTGTCTCTCTTTCTGACAAACTCCAGACAATCACTTTAATTGAAAACTTGAGCTCATTGATTCAGCTTTTGTATGAATTCAGGCCGTAAAAGCGTGACGCTCGCTCTCCTCCACCCAGAACGAGGGGCAGCGCTGTTACAAACAGGCCTCCTCCTCCTAGCGTTTGCAACGCAGACACAGCAGCATGGCAGTGAAAGTGGCTATGCCTCTTCTGGCTGTAACTGCATACACAGCAAAACATTCCAAACGACGCAAAAGTGAGGAGAAGAGGGAACTAAAGAGAAGAAATTATCCTGAAATGAAGCCTGGGTGAATATATGTAGCTAACATCGTATCCTCGCCAAAGCTGCTAAAGAAATGTGCAGCGGAGTTTGCTGAGCCTCTCCATACCATCTTTAACCCATTAAGGCCTGACACACTTGGTGAAAGACCTGTAAAACCTATGGCCGACTTCAGAACCACCCTCCAAAACCAGACGTTTTCCTGAAATTCAACGTCTACTAAATTATTGATATCTCGGCCTCTGTTGCAGATAGAAACATAATTTCAAAAGAATTTGAGAGCTGAGACTTGTGGCTGTAAATAAGAATGCAGTGTATTATTATAAACTTTCAGTAGAATAAACTGGGCGGGGCGACAGTAGCTCAGTTGGTAGAGCATTGGCCTTTGGGCCTGAAGGTTGTGGGTTCAAGCCCACCATAAGACCTACTTCACGACTCCCTCTGATGACTGCTGTCGTTGTGTCCTTGGGCAAGACACTTAACCCCACTTTGCCTGAAGCTCCCACTGAAAGATCTCAGCTCCTGTGGACTCACCACCTGCAGGAGGATCAGTGAGGGGCTGGTGCTGAGTGTACTGGGTGTAGCTCTGACTGCCACCCCCCCGACCCAGAAATGGATTAAGGGGAAGAAAATGGATGGATGGATGGATAGAATAAAACCAAAAAATATAAATTCCAGACAGTAAATGTAATAAAACACCAAAAAACACATGTTTCTCAATACAATGAGTCACAAAGAGTTTGGCAATAAAGTGGCACTAACTCTGGAAAAAAATATAAAAAAATCCACTCTCAGCCCAAAAAGTCAAATAATGACTCACAGGGCTCTTTCTTAAGTAAGTAAAATAAATAAGACTGTTTTGGTTTGTTCTGTTTGATTTGTTAATTTTATTTTTGTGTACAAATAACATGCATTGTCAATGCAAACAAAAATGTAGGTACCTGAGCTTTAATTCAGTGACTTCTGGCTGCGCTTCATGAGGAGACTTGGGGGGGAGACCGGGAAGAGACGGGAGAGACAGCCAAGACCCGCATGTGCAACAAGCTGGGGATGGTCCTGATCGCGCGTGTTTGATTCTGTCCCCGCGTCTATGGCCTCAAAAAATTAGCAAATTGTGATAAAGTCCATTATTTTCTGTAATGTACTGATAAACATTAGACTTTCATATATTTTAGATTCATTATACACAACTGAAGTAGTTCAAGCCTCAAAAAAAGTAAAGAAAAACCAAAAATCCTATCTCGGAAAATTTGCATATTACTAATTGCTACTCTAAACGAGCAATTAACCTAATCATCTGAACCAACAAATTAACTCTAAACACTTGCAGAAGATTCTTGAGGCTTTGGTTCATGACTCAAAACTGCATCATGGTTAAGACTACCTGTCTGCTGTCCAGAAGGCCATCATTGCGCGAATAGGCTGTTCCCAGAGTGCTTCATCAAGGCACCTCAGTGGGAAGTCTGTGGGAAGGAAAAAGTGTGGCAGAAAACGCTGCTCAACCCGAAGAGGTGACCGGAACCTGAGGAGGATGGTGGAGAAGGGCCGATTCCAGACCTTGGGGGACCTGCGGAAGCAGTGGACTGAGTCTGGAGCAGAAACATCAGGATCCACCGTGCACAGGCGTGTGCAGGAAATGGGCTACAGAAACCACAACCAGAAACAGCGGCAGAAGCGCCTGACCTGGGCTACAGAGAAGCAGCATACTTTTTTTGGATGAAATCAAGGTGCCAGAGTGTGTAGGAAGACTGGGGAGAAGGAAATGCCAAAATGCCTGAAGTCCAGTGTGAAGTACCCACAGTCAGTGATGGTCTGGGGTACCATGTCAGCTGCTGGTGGTGGTCCACTGTGTTTTATCAAGGGCAGGGTCAATGCAGCTGGCTATCAGGAGATTTTGGAGCACTTCATGCTTCCATCTGCTGAAAAGCTTTATGGAGATGAAGAATCCATTTTCAGTATGACCTGGCAAAACCACTGGTAAATGGTTTACTCAGACTAGTAATACTGTACTCAATTGGCCTGCCAACTCTCCTGACCTGAACCCCATAGAGAATCTGTGAGATATTGTGAAGAGGAAGTTGAGTCACCAGACCCAACACTAGTCAGACACGCCCCCTCTACGACAGTTACACAGCGCAGGTTCTGACACAAGCAGCGGAGGAATGGAAGGCAGTACTAATATCCCAGTCACAATTGATAATGCCAAAAATTAAATAAATGCAGTGAATGAGGCTGGACTGGGCCCAGAATGGACCGCCTCCTTGGGAGAATCAGGAAGGTGGTTTAATATATGAGGGTAAATATCCTCATAAAGTGCCTTCGTATGTTGCACTTTGTGTTGTTTTTCATTAATTATGTTAAATAATTGGATGGATGGAATATGCCATCCATCCATCCATTTCCTTCCCCTTATCCATTTCAAGGTCAGGGGGGGGGCAGTCAGAGCAGGTGCCGAGTCCACATGAGCTGTGTTTATTAAAAAGACAAAACTTTTTTTTTTTTAAATGAACCAAAGAATGAACCGAACCGTGGCCTCTGAACCGAGGTATGACCGTGACCGTGATTTTTTCAAACCGTTGCACCCCTAATATCGAAGCATCCTGGGGCTCCGTGACACCTCAGCAGTGCCTCGGGCTGATTGCCTCCATGCCACGCCGTTTTGAAGCATTCATTTCTACAAAAGAATTCCTGATCAAGTATTGAGTGCATAACTGAACATCATTATTTGAAGGTTGACATTTTTTGTATTTAAAACACTTTACTTTTATTGGTCGGATGAAATATGCTAATTTTTTTAGATGGTATGGTTTTTCTTTACTTTTTTGCTAAAATCATCAATATTAAAACAGTAAAAGGCTTGGACTACTTCAGTTGTGTGTGATGAATCTATAATATATGAAAGTCTACTGTTTATCAGTACATTACAGAAAATAATGAAGTTTCTCAATATGCTAATTTTTTTAAAAGGACCTGTAGTGTAATGGGCCAAGTGGTAGTGTGGAAGGAAGAGAGGAGCGAGTGTCTTCAGGTGGTTTAATGTGAAGAGAATACAGAACAGAACCCCATACTGAGCGGGAACCTCACATTTTAGCAGATCGGGTCAGGGGGTGGGCCGTGCACACGTCATTCAGTCCCTTAGTCTTCCCACCTTCACTTGAAATGTCCACAATTATATTTAAAATAAAACATCAAAACACAATAAAACATGGACTAACGTGTGACAGCTAAATCGACAAAGGCCCAGAACCCCCAGGACGCAGTCACAAACACGCCTCAGGACACTGGGGACATCACCAGAGAGAGAGATATGGCAGGAACACAGGTACTCGACAGGACACCACCAGACACACCCGGGACAAACAGGAACAGACCTCCGGGATCCCATGGCAGCCAGACACCCCATCAGGCACAGGCAAGCACAGTAGGGTCTGACTCCCGCAGGCGGCTCCGATCCAGGGCATCTTACACATGTTTCACATCGTGAGGCAGGACATCTGAACTCCTGGAACACACCTAGGCACGGCCCTGGAATATCCTCTGCCCCCACAGCACATCTTCACCTCCAGCAGCCCTGCAGCATTTTCAAAGACTGGTCCGGTGGCACAGTCACCACTGAGGCTGATGTCACTTTTGTCCAACGGGGTAAAATAAAAATATACATGTTTACTGCATGGGGAAACAGCACCCTAA